GGGTTGTTTTTTTTAAAAATGAAATCGAGGGAAATGCATGCAGGAGGTGTCACGCAAGACAGTCAGAATGTATAATGCGACGGCTTCTTTTGCCCACTTCTCTAACCACAGTCCACATCACGAGCTAGCATAGATCCTCTCTACATGACTCATCAGACACGGCGGGCGTCATTACAGGGACACACTGCTTAGTCAATTGATGAAGGTGTAGGGACTGTGGAAAACTCTGAGCAGCTCCGGTTGCATCATAAGGGGAAAGGGAAACCTGGCGAGTTCCTCCGAGCGTCCGAAGGATGGTCCTCACACTGCTGTGTGTGTTAGGTGCTGTTCCGTCTACGCCAGCTCAGAGCCGCCCGGGTAGGACAGAATGAATCCCGGCTGCTTCTGCCCCAACCTCACAATCGCCATGCTCGACAATATTCTGCTGGTGCTTGTGAGGTGTTCAGTCTCTGACAACGTGCCATGGCTGTTCTTAAGGTTTCCAGTGGCCATGTCCTCAAAAGTGGACAGTCTGTAGTATGTCCTTAGTCTAGAAAATCTGTTTTTGAAACCGGTTCACTTTGGGAGACCCTGCTGGCATTTGAAATACCAGTGACACAGCTTCCAGCACCACACCAGCTACCATAGTGTGACAAACTGACAAGCGGTGGTTCTCTACATTGTTACCTGTAAAAGGGATATTGTTTTCTCTTCTCAGCTCAAGGGCAAATGGCCTATTTTTCTGCTCTCTCCAGCTTGGTAAGAAGAGAAAAATATGGAGAGTTTCAGGGTGAAGGGCCTTTGGAAATGATGTGGTTGAGTCCTTGGTGCAGGAAGATGCTACATCTTTCTGTTACGTAGGTACCTGGGCTTCCTGGGAGATTCCCAGTGGCGTGAAATTCATGCCTCGATGAGGCAGAAGGCTTCCTGCTCAGAAAAGTTCTGCCCCTCATAGTAAGCCAAAAATCTGTCGGACTGTAACATCCATCCAGGAATTCAAAATGCCACTCCCTCTGACGTAACCAGTGAAACGTAAAGCCAGTGAGCCCCCTCAGCCACCCTGCAGGCTGCGGATCTCATTTCCAGGCGGCTTCAGGAAGGCCAGCCGGTGGAGTCCCACAGGAGACAGGGAGCTGAATCATAGTTCAGCTCAGTCGCCACCGGGGCTTTACCAGGAAAGGAATAGGACCCGCCTCTGCCCTATTTAGAAACCCTGCGAGTCAGCACCTCAAAAGGGCATAGGCACTGTCCAAGCTCGCCTCCACCCCTCCCCAACCTTCCAGTCTCATCCATGTAAATCAGAAAACAGAAGAAGAAAGCCGACCAGTGACTGTGTGTGTGTGTGTGTGTGTGTGTGTGTGTGTAAACCCATGGTTTCTGTGTTGGAAGACTTTTTGTTCTTTGATGGTGTCAGAATGAACAACTTTAGAATCTTTACAACTTATCTTATTAGACCATCCTTTTTGGACACACTGCTAGAAGTACATCAAGCCCAAGCTGCTAACTAGATAGCCATGTGTTCAAGACCAGGTTCATCACTGCTCCAATTTCTCCCTCCCCAAATGCAACCTCTTCTTGAGTTCCATTCAGATCTTCAATGTAAGAAATCCCAAGGGCGATCGTTTATTCAAAAGTATCTGCTTTGGGCACCTGCTTTGGGCATCCTTCTTTTATCATCCTCTGTGACAAACCTCTTCCCCCCCCTTTACCCGGGCACTGAGAAGCGATACCATGATGGGTGAACTAAACCCCAGACCATGGGATGTGAAGGCAAGTGCTGGGGGCAGTCTTCAGGGCTGGCTTAGCCATTTGTCATCCGCCCTGTTCTTTCCTTTTCCACCAGTTGGCTGTGGATCCACAGGGCGCCTTGAAGGCCACTGTGTGAACATTCCCCCCCGGAATCTCTGGGTGATAATGTATGATCCAGCCTCTTGGTCCGAGAATGAGAAATACAATTTTACTGTGTTTGAGTCACTGCACATTTGCTCACAGCATAGTACTTAACAAACAAACAAATAAACAAAACAAAACAAACCCATTGCTACTGAGTCAATTTGGGCTCTTAGTGACACTCACTGTAGGAGAGGGCACACCTGCTTCAGAAGGCTCCCAAGGCTGCGATCTTTATGGAAGCCGCTGGCCACATCTCTCTCCCTTGTGGATTTGAACCATCAACCTTTCTGTTATCAGCACGCAACCACTGCACCATGAAGGCTCTTCATAATAACTAATGCTCCACTCGCAAGTCATTCATTCATTCCTCCGATAATTAACACTTCTCTCAGGCACCGAGGGAGGCACGGGGGAAACCAAAATGACTCACGGAGTTCACAGGATCTACCTAAGCCAGATCATTAAAATCCAATCTAAATGATATCTCAGTGCTAGGTGCATCTTAAGTTACTCACTGCAGTAAGATTTAAGACTTCAATTTACATCCAAGGCTAGTTAAACTGTTTAAGCTCTGGGTGTTAGCATCTTCTGTTAATCAAGGCAAACTCCTTCCTGTCTCGCAGGGGTGTCAGGTGCATTAACTTGAATGAGATGATGCATGTGGAAGCACTTGGCCAACTAGAAAGTCCTCTGCAAATGTTCATTTAATTTCATGGTCATTGTCCAAATCCAGGCCCTGTTATTCATAAGATATTGTACCAGCAATCTTATTGAAGTTTCTGCCTGAAAGCCCACTTACTCTCAACACTTGGTTCACTGCCATTGAGTCAATGTTGTTTAGTAGTGACCCACTGTGGGTTTCTGAGACTGTAACTGTTTACAGGAGTAGAAAGCCCAGTCTTTCTCCCGCTGAGCTGCTGGTGGTTTCGAACTGCTGACCATGCAGGTCTCAGCCCAACGTGTAACCACTATGCCACCAGAGATCCTTTCTCAAAGAAGCAATCTCTTCAGGCAGAGCTCAGGTTGGTTATTTGCTTATTCACAGTGATTTTGAGAACTCCCAATGGCTTACCAAATGAAACATGAGCTTCTTATCTCAGTGTTCAAGGCCCTACAGAGCATGGCTTCAACAAGAATTTAAAATCCATTATCAACTTCTTTGCAGCTCACTGTTTCCCTTCCTTTCCCGCCACTCTGTGAGCCAGTGACCCACGTCCTAATACACCCCCCCCTCCATCTCCTCACTTTGTTTTCCTCTTTCTCTGGCATCGTTCTTCACCTCCGTCCCTCCCCAGAGATTGCTCAAGGTCTGGCTCAAATATCACCAATCCCATGAAGACCTTTCTCCAAAACGCTCTTCCGAACTTCACCCCATCTGTCCTGTTCTACTGAGATCCTTTTTTCCCCTTCACTAGTGATGACACCAAGTGGGTTGTGCGTTGGGCTGCTAACCTGAAGGTCAGCAGTTCAAAACCACTAGCCTGTCCAAGGGAGAAAGATGAAACCTATGCTCCCATAAAGACTGACAGCCTCATAAACCCATTGATTGGGGCAGTTCTACTCTGGCCTCTCGGTTGTGATGAATCAGAACTGACTTAATGGAAGTGAGTGAGTGTGTGTGTGTGTGTGTGTGTGTGTGTGTGTGAATGAGTCAGCGAGTCAGTGAGCGAATGAGCAAGTGATGGCCCCATCGCCTTTGAATAGTCTCGTCTTCAGAGAGGAACACAGAAGGAGCTTGAGCATTTAATGAAGACATATTACAATAAAGAAAAAGTTCAGAACGTAGTGTGATTTCTTGTGGTTATTGCACCAACAATAGACGAATTATAAGAGGAAAGACATTCTACAGATAAACAAGAGAGAAAATTATCTTAATGCTTTATGATCTATTAGAGTCAGAGGATATTTTATAGAGCTCTTCATGGAACTTTTGTATTCAGTCACTTTTGTGATAATAAATGTAATTCCATTAGAACAAGACTAGAACCAAAGTCCAGGGGCATTAATTCCTCTCCCCAGTCAGATCTTCCAGAGATGGCAGTTCAGTCTTATTTTATAAGTATGACAGACACAAATTTGCTAAATGTCTCATCTACAAGTCAGCATTTTAAAAAAAATGGCCACAAGTGACCCATTTCATGTGTGTTAATGGCATATATAAAATACTTATGAATAAACAGTAATTTAAAGACCTTCAATGGTATTGTCAGGTATTTCACTGCTCATCTCAAGGTCAGGGGTTCAAACCCACCAGCTGGTCACATGATACAGATGAGGCTACCTGCTTGAATACAGATTTATTGGAGCTGCTGAAATCCTATATACGGTTTAAGTCAGAACGGACTCAATGACACTGTTTTGTTTTCTTAATTTCTATTAAATGAGAGTTCTAGTTTATTAGCTTCTTTATGATTATAGGGATGTTAGGGGCTGTATATATATGTTCTGATCGGTTAAGAAGAGACCCACTGTACTGATAGATATTAAATCTATGAAAAGTCTATTAGGGCATGTCTACTATACACATAATATCACGAGTGTTTTCAATCTTGTCTTCTTGTAACAAACTAGGCTAAATTGCAAGATGAGTTCCTTGGGGATTTTTCTCTAAGGAACAGAGAAAATTAATTCAAATCAGCTTGTGAGTGGGGAGGGGGGGAATGTAACTGGGAGTTCTAAAACATAAAAGTATGAATCTTTTTTACATAATAATCAGATATAAGATCATTTGTGGCCACAGATATTATGATAACGCTAATACGGATCAGGAAGTGCTTACTAGAAATTATAATAGATTGTATCATTATAAAAGATTGGTAAAATTTTATGAAATCCAGTGCAAATCATTTCCTAAGAAAGCAATATGGAAACATGCCATATGCACCCAGATGTCAAACACCTCATCAATCGCTGGTAAGTGAAGTATGGAATAATAAGCACAATGTATTTTCTCAGTGATTCTGCAAGGCATCGAGTCAACAACTCAACCAGATTCCTCACTTTCGACTGTAATACTAAGCTGACAACTTAGGACAAAACCCCACTCGTTGCACAGTGCTGCGCTGAGCATAACCCTGGTGGCCCTCATGGTGGGAACGGGGGTCCAGAAAACACAAAGCAGCCCTTACCTGCAAAAGTGAAAAGCGAAGAGCGGACTGCAAGGACTGCCCGGGCTCGACGGGGTTGGGCTCAGGCTTCTTGGAGTGAGACTGCAAGTCAAAACAACATCATTCCAAGTGGGGGAAATGAGCGCCCTCAGAATAGCCCAGCTCACTTCAGGGGCCACGTTCCCTGCGGCCAGACCCACGCATGGCATGCGTATCAAGACCCCTAAGCAAGCATCCCCGTCACTTGCATTTTCAGCTGTGAAACACCCCATAGGCAAAATGCTTCCTGCTGAAATCAACATTTTAAAAACCACAGCTGCCATTTTTCAGTTGTGCCTTTTCTTTGCCACAGAGCAACTTGGCAAATATCTTTAACATGCGATTTTTGGTATCAGAGAAGACTCCTGTGTGCCCTTTTATAATGAATCTATTCCATTCCCAATTAAGACTCTGGCGATGACTCGGTAGCTTAGCTAGCAGACCGTGATCCTGAGAGTTCAGATGAAAGATTGTAGTTTACTCTTCCTTTATTTAACGTAAACCCACAACCATCTCCATGTAGGAAGCTAAGTTTATAGGGACTTCTCCGTGAAAAGGCAGTCTTCCTTGTAACCAGGACACAGCAAGTTCTCTACCCCTTGGGGTGGGGGTCGGGGGACAAGGATACAAAGTGTTCATATACTTTTAGCCATAATAAATACAATTTAAAAAAGAACTATAAATTATTTTACTTTCCAGAAAGGTTTTCTCAAATTCAACCGTCAATGGGCCATGAAAAATACCATCACCACCAACCAACCTAATCAGTGAAGAGCATTCACTAGTCATTCTCAAACATTCATTAAACAGAAGGTAATATACAAGCCATTTATTATTTGTTCCCCTTCGGTCTCATGTCATTTCTCTTTTGAAGAAGTGAAACCTGCATCCGTAAGGATTTTCCCTATGGATCCACCAGAGAATGCAGTGCTAACTGCATATGTATATATTTTAATGGCAAAACCAAATGAAGAATTAGGTAGATATTCTTGCACCAAGGTGTAAGGAGTAGAAACTTGGGCCAGGGGACATTAGAAACTTGCTCTTGAGCAATGGACTTTAACACATTCTTTTGCCTCTCCATTGGGTCGGGACTCTACACCACATATCATGTCTTGCTACCTTAGTGAATGAAGTCTGCGATTAGCACTGCATCTGGGCCGTTTCGATCCATCTGTGCCCTTCATTGACACAGAGAATTGGCAACATTGACTCAAATTAGATTAGGCTTATCATGGTTTGCTGAGTATTAATGCCACCTTTGTCTCCCAATAAGTGGGCAACAGAGAAAGTGGACTGTATTTGTCTTAAACTGAAATGTAAAATATACTTGATAAAGGGTTCACGAAGGATAAAGTTTTACGTCTTGTAAAACTGACACCGATCTGGTGTCAGTGCTTGGTTCTGGGTTCCCTTAGGAGGCGTACAGAGCGCGCTGGCGAGCCGCGGCCCGCAAGCACACTGTGCTCCATCTTCGCAGCTCATTGGAAAGCTCTCAGGAACACCCACTGATAGAGCCCATGTCTGTCCTAAGTACAGTCTTATCTAGCATTCCTGGTCCTAAAATAAGGAAGCAGAGGCACTCCTGCTGGTCACCGTGTGGGAACTGAGGATGTGCACAAGGAGGTAAATCGGAACCTAATTCAATACTTGTCATAAAAACAAACAAGCTACATGTACCTTGTCCTCAGAACTCCGAAAGGCAAACATAGGCTCTCTGAATGTGAAACAATTCTGAATAAATTAATAACCATTAATTTATGAAATAGTTATAGATCTGGTGCCTTGTATTCAGAATACCCATTTCTGAAACAGGAAGCAGGAACCACTTCAGGTTATTGATAGGAAGTTAGAAAATTATGGTTTGCGCCCACAAAGTAATGCCTTTGGACTCAATTTTCTGGGGGGCCAGGAGGGGAGGCAATATCTCATGAGAGACCATCTTGAAACTGTTCATCTATACATTTGGTCTGGGAGTTAGGACCCTATTGTCATCTACCTTAACCCCCTCTAATTATCTTTATTGAACTGGTTTTTGCCAAACTTGGTACAAGACCTTCCATGATAGCACTTCTCTGCCTGCTTACAAGCAAAATTGTCTCAAAGAATGCAGCGTGGGAGCAAAACCAGCGAAGCCTACCTGAGAGTGATTTCACATTTCAAGATCAACAAAATGTCCAAAGTCAATTACATGCTAACACTACCGTGACATTTAAGAGCCGTCCTCAAATTTACTGTTTCAAACTCCCCAACGAGAAGTGGCATCTACTTTACATGGGATGGTGACATTTACCATGACAGAGGCTCTACTAGAGGGGTGTGGCCTGGTACCAAAATAACAATCCAGGGATCCCCAAAGTTCAGTGGACCCCAACATCCTGTGCCACCACTGGCAGCGCCATGCAACTCGGGGCACACCGCGGCATTTCAAATAATAAAACGGAGCATTTAGTACAGCCGAGGTTGCATTTTAAAAAAAGTAACTTCAAGAAGAGTCTCCTTTTAATGTAAACAAAATGCTAAAAGTAAAAGAAAACACAACTTACTGTAAGATGGTCTATTTTAAGTCTAAAGAACAAGGGCAAGGAAGAAACACAACTGAAAACAGAGAAAAAGGCCAAGCTGGGGGCAAGCCCTGGGGGGACTTGGGCCCTGAGCTATGAGCCTCAGAGCCAGCGAGCCATTTCCAGGTGGTAGAGAGGGCAGCTCTGAGAACCAGGACGGTATGCCATTTAACTCTTTCTACATGAAGGCTGAGCGCGGAGGTTAAGGTGGGACGGAGATGGGGACCATACGCCCCCAGCAATGGGTAAAAAAATACTGTTTAGATCTCTAATTAAAAATGTCACATCTACAGAGAAGGTTCTGAGAGTCCTCTAACTTTTTTTTAATTTAATCATTTTATTGGGGCTCATACAATTCATCACCCTCTAACTTTTTATAACTAAGGGGCTCATTAATATAAAATCAGAATTTCATTCATTAATTAAGGGAGTCATCTCTCTTGTATGACCTATCCACAGAGCTCACGAGGAGTAATTAATACTCAGAAGTGGGTGCCAACCTCTTCCTGCTGTCTCTTCCCAGAGGAGTCCAGGACAAGAACACGGGGATTATAACATTCCAACTCCAACCTCCATAGGGTAGCTGTACGGCGTTTACACAAAAGGGATATGTTGATTTCTCCCCCTTATGCGATTTATATATCAGTGTTTATTATTTTCAGTGTGCCGGCAGCCAGACAAACTCATGGATTCTGCATCTCAGACCAGCAGATTTAAAATAAAAATATGCTGACACTTTCCTGCAGCGCAGATGTTTAACTTCTGCGCCACAAATTAGACGTGGGCATTTTCACGTCACTACATCAAATCAGAAGGCAGTCAGATGAGTTAATAGGTTAAAAAGGTAGGCGGTGGGGGGAGGGCGCCGTGCTCAGCAAACCCTGAGCTGAACTAGGTAAACATACTGCATGCAGTGGCCGGAGCCTCTGCAGAGAGGATTCAAAATGTACTACAGTTCATTAATATTCTGTTGCACAGATAAAACATGGATCACATTGAATGAATGTCACAAATAAGCCTTCTCTTATACCCTGATCCACCGCAATGCCTCCTATTTTTCAATGCAGACGGCGGCCTTTCTTGAGAGAAGGCGGCGTGGGGGATAAACAAACAGTCCGGGAGAAGGAGAAAAAGACAGACACACTAGGGCCTACTGCTCCATTCTTTCACAATGAGCCGTTAAGAGGTTTCCACCGCTGAGGTTTTAGTAACTTTAAATATGCGGCAAGGCTTTCCCTCCGCCTGCTACGCAAAACATGCAGAACGCAGGGTCTGGCTTCCACATTAGCCATGCAGTTAAGACATGTTCCTCCAGCTCGCTGCACTGCTCTGAGGCTGTCAGTACAAACAGATGCTAAATAGCGATTGGTTGCAGGAAAGCCGAGTGCCATGCAGAAAGCATTAAAATATTAAAGGCAGACAATACTTACTCCAAGGTCAGCCCCGGAATCTGTAGCCTTTCCCGCTGGGCTTTCATGGTTGGTCTATGTTACCACACTCTAGTCTATTGTAACCATGACACACATTCACTGCCAGCGTCCCGGTGATGACAGAGAGCCAAAACGAACCTCTCTGAAGGACTGGACTAACAATCTCTCGAGGGGGAGGGGGATCCTGCAAGTTTGGGTCCTTCCACCTCTAGCTGTATCATCCAGAGATGTCAGCTGCTTGCCCCAGGTTAACGGCAGTGCACACCGCACGGATTTCGTTAAGGGAATGAGGCTTTCAGCTCTGCATATCAAGTAATTGGTTTCTGGTTTTTTTTTTTTTAAGAAAGTCGCTCCACGCACAGACCCACTTTTCACCTCGGTGAAATGCAAAATCCTTTTCACCACGCTGACTGCAAAAAAAATAATAAAGCCACAGTATCAGACTTAGAAAAGAGTTTATCCCAAGCAAATGTCACCGCCTCCCACCTCCCGGGCGATGCTCTCAGATGGAATGGGAACGCCCCAGAGTAGGTTACCCTTCCTCTCACCCTGGGGGAGTCGGCAGGCTCATTCATAAGCCACAAGACAGCAATAGGAAATGGTGCAGCATGAAAATATTGAGATGCGTCTCTATATACACGCGGCCAGCATTGGAACCAGGACTGAACTAACGGCGTTAATTTGGGGGAAGGTGAACTTGGTTTTGAGGCAAAGACTTGTGCCAACAGGCACTACTGTTGGGTGGGAAAGTACCAGCTGGGAATGAACCTGGGAGACAGGGGCTTGTGATCCACACTTTATACCATTAGTCTAATACGATGAAAGAAGGAAGGAAGGAGGGTAAAGGGGAGAGGATATATTTTGACAGCCTGGGCATATCATCCTGCACTTATTCAAAAAGCACCATTTTCCCATTCTTCATCCCTTAAGATCAAGCGTACTTCCATTGTCATGCAGGAGGTATGAATTTGACTCATTTCCTCTGGTGTATTTTGAAACACTTAAAAAAGTTGGCAACCACTGGTCTGTGAACAAGAAGCAATAAAATGAGAACCTTAGTCACCATTCTAATTTTTAACCATCATAAAACCACACACACATACACACAGCCATATTGTGGTGAAAAGGTGGCTGCATTGAGCGATGAACTTCAAAAGGCTATTCAGTCCAACTGCATCTTTATGTGAGGCCATGTAGTGGCAGTGCCAGAATCAGATCTTGGTGTGCTTACTGCTACCCTGGGGCCCTTTCCATGCAGGAAGGCTACACACAGTTGTTCAAGGTGTACACTACACTAGGGAGCTGGGCAAAGAGGGAAGAACACTTGACATTACTTTCAAATGCTCCATGCCTCCACCCCCACCTTGGGTGATTTCCACCCCATTTCTTTATTGTCACAAAGGCAATCGCCATGTCTACATTGATCTAGAGCAGTGGTTCTCAACCTGTGGGTCGGGACCCCTTTGGGGGTTGAACAACCCTTTCATAGGGGTCGCCCGATTCATAAGAGTAGCAAAATTACAGTTATGAAATAGCAATGAAACTAATTTTATGGTTGGGGGGTCACCGGAACATGAAGAACTATATTAAACGGTCGCAGCATTAGGAAAGTTGAGAACCACTGATCTAGAGGGTCACCTGTTTCCAACTTGACCAACTTGCCACGTAGACCAGTTCACGTGACGCTCCCGTGCTCTCAGTCTAGCAAGCTGATTTGATGGGGCCATTTGCTTATGTTCACCAGGCACCACCTCCTGCTGTGTGGGTTCCCGGTCACCAATCCGCCCGGTGTTTGGAGTTAAACCCACACTGGGAATATCATCATTGTGAGTGATCACAGAGATTCACACCACGATGTAGACCAACAGATGCAACATAAAACACAAAGCCTAGCAAGATTTGAGGATAGAGATATACAGTGAACCCTCGCCACTTCGCACTTCGACTTCCGCGGCTTCACTCTATCGCGGTTTTTGCGTAACAGCACCCACTGCCTACACCCGCTCCTTCAGAGGAAAAAGACGGCGACCCACCTGTAGAGTACATCCCTTAAGTCATTTCATAGGCTATTGATTACAGTATTTGTAATAACTATGTATAATAATACTGTATGTGAAATATGTAATACTGTAAACTAGATGCCATAAATAATATAATAAATGATAATTGTAATGTCCAAAATGTTTTACTGTATTTTCCCTTTTTCGTTTAATAAATTGGGTAATACGAGTGTAATGGTGACTAAAGGGTGTTTTTTCATGTCCTCTATGCTCTAACTACGAAAATATTTGATTTACAAATAAGGAATCCTACTTCGTGGAATTTCATTTATCACAGTAGGGTCTGAACCGATTAACCGCGATAAACGAGGGTTCATTGTAATGGAGTACAAAGGAGACCAGAGAAACCTTGCTTAGGGATGTCAGGGAAGGGTCAAACATATAGGTGGTACAACCAAGTTACAGTAAAGACAAAAGAACTAATTACTACTTTATACCTAAACAAAAAAACAAAGGAAAAGAAAAAAGCCACAGTTAAATTCTCTAGATCTACAACTTTTAATATTTTAAGGTAGACTCCATTTAGGTAACACATTACATTTTTATTCAGAAGGATTTTATACATAGACACTCTTTTAAAAAAATCACACCTTTTATTGCCAGTAGAATCCTAGACATTTTCACTAGATCACTTTGTTATTGTTGCTGTGTGCCTTCAAGTTAATTCTGCTGCGTCCAGCCCTATGTGGGAGAGAGAGTAGACCTGCCTCATGGGGTTTCCCAGGCTGCCATTTAAGGGCGCTCATTAGGTCTGTTCTCCTGTGGAGGGGCCAAGGGTCAGTCCAAACTGCTGACTGGTCAGCAATGGAGTACTTTACCAACTGGACAGCCAAAGAAGCCTAGACTGGCTGTTTACCAGCCCTAATTTTAACTTGTACTACAACAAATTCATCACCTGTGGCCCACCAACACGATTAAGCCTCCTTCCACAGTCAAATAGCTAAAATCCCACCATCCTTCCCACTCAAGTCCCCTTGATCCAATCTACATCACTACTTGGATGACTGGAATCCCTCTCTCCTATCCCTCTCTATATTTTTGGCCCTATAATCTCCAGAATGATCTCCCCTGCCACCCCACCCCAAACTATGTCAGACTCCTCTATTCAAAGCCCTACGATGGCTTCCCTCTCAAAGTAAAAGCCCAAGCCCTAAACAAATTAGTCAAAGGTCAACAGGGATAAGAACATTTTATTAAGGTCAACAGGGATGAGAACATTTTATTCAAATAAGGACAGAGTTTTCGTCCAAAAGTGTAAGCACATGTGGAAGGAGGGAAGCAAGATCTGGCAGAGTGGGAGGGGGTCTCCCAGTCAGGGTCCCTGTGGGAACCACACCAAATAGCTTCTGCATTGAGAAAGCTGGGAAATGCTGTCAGCATGTGTCTTCTTTCTCTAGGAACTGCTCCTTCTGGGTAGGGCAGTGTTTTCACTTTACAACAGTATTCAAAGTGACAGAGAAATAGCAGGATACGGATATCATTCTTTTTTAAAAGTTTTCAGGAATCAGTGGATCAGGAACCATCACCAATCAAGGAATGCTGGCATCAGAGAAAGAGGGCCAGCTATGGCGTGTCTCTTGATGTGCCACCTGTGAAGGCATCTTAGCTAAAAAATTCCCGACAACAACGACTCCACTCAGACCCTCACATCAAAATACCAATTGACCGGAAATAATAGGGGCAAGGGACCCTACTAAACGACATCATGGAGAAGCAATCATCAAAATCTAGCTGTGGACCCCATGACAAATGGCTGGGTGTGTTAACCAAGAATTTTCTTTTTTCTTTTTAACCATTTTATTAGGGGATCATATGACTCTTATCACAATCCATACATACGTCAATTGTGTAAAGCACATTTGTACATTCATTGCCCTCATCATTCTCAAAACATTTGCTCTCCACTTAAGCCCCGCATCAGGTCCTCATTTTTCCCCCTCCCACATGGGCCAGTAACCCCAGATGTGAGCCCCAGGACCCAGTCAAGCAGGAAGGTGTGGTGCAGGAAAGAGGCCAGTTCTCTTCAGTGTCTCTCTTACCAAAAGGCCACCTTTCTCCAAGGAGACATCACACAGGTACCTCAAGTTGACAAAATCTAACCATCACCTCTGTCTTGTTTTTGTGCATGTTATTATCTCTGCAGGTCTGTCTAAATAAGACAGGCTGGATGAACAATCTGGAGGAGAAAACAACAGGACTGACAGTTCCGGGGAGAAGGGGAGGCAGGGAAAGGTAGTGGTGTTAACAAACCCAGGGACAAGGGAAAAACAAGTGATCCAAATCAATGGTGAGGAGGGTGTAGGAGGCCTGGTAGGGTGTGACCAAGGGTAATGTAACCGAGAGGAATGACTGTAACCCAAATGAAGGTTGAGCACGATAGTGGGACAAGAGGAAAGTAAAAGGAAATAGAGGAAAGAGCGAGGAGGTAAAGGGCATTTATAGAGGTCTAAATAAAGGCATGTATATTTGTAAATATATTTATATATGAAGATGTTGAAATAGATCTATGTATATTTATGTATAGATTTAGTATTAAGGTAGCACACGGACATTGGGCCTCCACTCAGGTACTCCTTCAATGCAAGAATACTTTGTTCTATTAAACTGGCATACCATGATGCTCACCTTCCCAATACAATCGCTGAAGACAAAGCAGGTGCATAAACAAATGTGGTGAAGAAAGCTGATGGTGCCCAGCTATCAAAGGATATAGCGTCTGGGGTCTTAAAAGCTTGAAGGTAAACAAGCTGCCATCTACCTCAGAAGCAACAAAGCCCACATGGATGAAGCACAACAGCCTGTGTGATCACGAGGTGCAGAAGGGATCAGGTATCAAAGAACAAAATATCATATCATTATGTGCTCACTTCCCTGATATGATTGCTGAAGACAAATGGGTGCATAAGCAAATGTGGCAAATAAAGCTGATGGTGCCCAGCTATCAAAAGATATAGCATCTGGGGTCTTAAAAGCTTGAAGGAAAACAAGCGGCCATCTAGCTCAGAAGCAACAAAGCCCACATGGAAGAAGCACAACAGCCTGTGTGATCACAAGGTGTCAAAGGGATCAGGGATCAGGCATCATCAGAACAAAAAAATCATA